TGTTGTTGTTGTTGTTGTTTGGGTGTTCGTGCAAACTGGCATCTCTGATGCCACAACTCCTGTATAGCTGGAGTTTGTCTCACTTTCTAACACACTGCTGCACTGCAGCCAGGCTTAGCCGGAAGTGTCACGCCAAACAGTGGACTGTTTGCGTTCGAAAGTCAAAAGTCAAGACCGCCGCCCGCGCTCGAGACATCCAGTTCCCAGGTGCGCCAGCAGTTTTGCGTACAGTTGCTAGGCCGCAGGGGATTGAAGGGTTGGAAGGGGCAATGCCCTTAGGGTTGCTAAGGCAAATGCCCTGTACAGCCTTGTTCTTGACATTTGCAAATTTTGCATCAAAAGCAACAAGTACTTTTCTTGTGAGCATCCTTCCCGGAGCTACCCTTGGCTGTTGCCGGAATGGAAGCAGTTCATGAACCAGTCAGACGTCCGTCAGACCTTTTTCCACCATTGTGAGTACGGGGGCGACAGGCGAAAAGGCACCCGTCTTCTCCACAACATCGCCAAATTTGAACATCTTCATCGAGTCTGCTCAGGAAACCATGTCCATGCAGGTTGGGGAAGGCTCAAAAACAAATGGGCCACCTCCTTTGAAACAGCGTACCCCGTGGGGGTTGTGCAAAATGATGGCCAGCCTGTTGCAGGAGCATTTTCTTGGCTTGGGCTGTCAGCCCGCCCCCACGCAGCTGTCCGAAGTTCAGGCAACCATTCCTGGAGCCAGGGCCTTCTCAGGCTTGCAAAGCAGAAAGAAGATTGCACCTCTCATCACTGAATTCGCCTCTGTTCATTCAGTCATCCTTCCTTTGGCCCTTGCTACTAAGTTCCTGACCCCAGGTTGCAAGCTGCCTGTGAAATGGGCCGTCGGGAAGTCAATCGTGTGCAAGCCGCCCATCGCATCTTTCCCTGCAGGCAGCCGCGTCCTCCGTGCCCATGTAGTTCAGGGGGACAAGGAGGGCCCGGTAGGACTTAAGGGTTCTTGTGGGTCTAGTGGTTTAGACCCCAGGGAGCCCTGTGGTTCTAGCCAACCACCTGGAAGTCGCAGGGCTGGGCCATGCAGACCAGCAAGTTAAGAAGGCAATGCAAACTGGAGACCCAGAGGCAGTTGCCCTGTGAGTCAATAGACAACGTAAAGTGGCCGCCAGTGACTTGTCCCTCCTCCTGGATTTGTTACCCTCTGAGAACCTCAGATGGTCTGGCGCATCGCAGTCTGCCTCGAACTCCTTCCAAGCGGGCAGTTTCGTTCATGGAGGAGTCCGGGGTGTTAGGACATGCTCCCGCAAGTTCCCTGAATCTACCAAGGCCATTTGTGCTTACGTAAGGCATTTGTTCCCTGGCCTCACCTTCGGTACCGTTGGGCTGTTCCGGAACGTTTGCGCCATCCCTGGATTCCAACAATGAAGACTTCACGGATAATGCAATAGCGGCCTTGTCCTCCTTTGAAGAGGGGGGATTATGGACGGAGGATCCAAGCGGGGATCTGGCAATGGACTTCAAAGGAAAGCCTGTTATGGGAGTCAAGGTCCCAGTGGACAAAGAGGGTTTCAGGTTCGATGGACGCAGGCTTCATGCGACTTTGCCTTGGTCAGGGCGCAGGGGTGTCGTGGTGGCTTACATGGCCAGAGGACCCGAACTCCTGACCCCAGCAGATCAATCAGCCTTGAGGGATCTGGGTTTTGCGTTGGCGAAAGAAGACCTGGAACTGGAGTCGCCTTTGAAAGAGAAGATGGCCAAGGTACTCCTCCCGCGGCGACCCATTTTGTCAACATGGCAAGCCTCTGATCACCGCCTGCTGCCCAGGCCCGCGCGAGTTCGCGGCACTCTGGGTTCCTCGCCGCAAACCTTCCATAGGACCGGTACGCCGCCGGATGGGTGACGGAAGTGACCTTCATGCGTGGTGGGAGGCTTGCAAAAACCGCATCACACCCTGGGCCTGTGGCTGCACCTGCGCCCGCTGCTAGGGCTGTATCCGGCAACTTGCTTGCCGCTGGCAAACCTGCAGATGTCTCGGGCCCCATGTTGGGCACTGCGATGTTTGACGTTGCAGGCGGTGCAACTGCAGGCATGCTTGGCTCTGGGCCTGGCGGCGCCTGCGCAGCAACTGCAGGCACGCCTGAAAAAACTGCGCTTGGCTCAGTTGGGCCTGTTGCCCCTCGCGGGTCCATGGGGGGCACTGGTGGCAGTGATGTCTTTAATCTGCTTCCCGCTTGTCAATTGTCGCCGCACTGGCTTCAGTAGGCTGCAGGCTGAGGAACATGTCACTGGTTGCAGACCCAGTTCAACAGAAAGATCCAGCGTGGGCTGTACAGTCGACATGGGCTGGCTCATCTCCGTGCGTGGAGGCCCTGCAAACTCTTCCTCAGAAGCACTCCGCTTCAAATCTGTTGAGATCGGACTCGGAGGAGTTGGAGGAAGACGTTCAGGCATATCAGCGTCCTTCGCAGTCCTTACACGCATTGTGAACTCAGATCGACATGTCATGTGAAACTGTTTCCCAGATGCATGCAGTCATTTCCTTGCTCCAAGTTTCGACTCTTCCTGAAGTGGAGGAGGAGGCGGTGGAGGAGGGATATTTTGCATAGCCTGCGCAGCATTAAGCCATGCAGCCTCAGATGAACTCCACTGCATGACTGCATGTGTGAACAAACTTCGACACACGACTGCATGTGTGGACGTGATTTTCCTTCTGGACAAGTCACACACCAGGTTGGGTAGCGGCAGGGTCCATCCCGCCCATATTTGCAGCCCAAAAATTGGTCTGATCGTATCCCGGGAACCTTTTCCGCGCAGACAC